ATGCGGGTTACCTACGTATCTCACATCCGATGAGAATCAAACCAGCGTAGTTCGGGCAAATAAATCTAACTATTTTTGAAAACACTCCTAATTTGAAAAAATAAAACTTATTTTTTGGTTTTTGTTGGCAAATTCAAGACTCTTTTTATATTTTCTTTTCCCATGGCAAATAAACAAACTAATTTGAAAATAAAACTTTTTTTTCTTTTGTTTTTCTCAAAAGTCCGGCAGCATTTTGGCACTACTTGGACATTGGTTTTTTTTTCTAGCATAGGTAATTAACTCTCCACACTGCTATTTTCTCTTTTTCTCTCTCTTTTGTTTTTCAATATTGCCCAGATATTCAAAGCCGGTCAGCATGCGAGTCCAAAACAAATAAATGCACAAGTAGGATGCATCAGGATGGTCCATTATTCCGGGTACACCTGTCCTAGACGGACCCAACCCCTGTGTTGAGCCCCCTAAGTCAAAATACACGTGATGCAGATAAGCGTTCCTACTAGGGATCCGGCATGAAGTCAAGTTCTTCTAGGTTCAAAACCTGGGTATGTGTTCTAGACTGTGTACCTGAGCGGACAACTCGAGTCGAGGAGGGGGCTACGTACCGGGAACCAAAAAGCCATCCGGCTTAGTAACTTGTCCGGCCTCTTTCTTATTTCAGGGTATTGACACTAACAGAATAGGGAGTCTCAACCAGTAAGCACATCCTCGGAGGTGAGAAGAGAAGGGTTTCGGCACAGTTTATATACAATTCAGATAATATCAAAACAGTAAAAAGCAACATTTTGCACATTTAGCATGAAACATGTAGGAAAATCAGATAAAGCCAAATACAACAATATATCTAAGCTCGAATTCTTAAACCCTGAACCGAAGTTCTGGGTTCTAATCCCCAGCAGAGTCGCCAGAGCTGTCACACCTCCTTTTTACCTACACCCGACAGGACATAAAGGAGTTTTTCCACTTAAAGGACAATCGGAACGGGATTTATTATTAAGCTTTCAGAGTCTCCACTTGGGAGATTAAGGGTGTCCCAAGTCACCAGTTGAATCCCGACCCGAGGAAATTATGACTCTGTTATCAGTCCGCGAACCAGAAATCCAGGTAAGGAATTCTGTTAACCCGGGAGAAGGTGTTAGGCATTCCCGGGTTCCGTGGTTCTAGCACGGTCGCTTAATTGTCATATTTGATTTTATCTGATTCCAAAACATGTTCTTAGGTGCCCTTTATTAGTAAACTGCTTTTATTGTTATTTCAATAAGAATTGCAACGTCGTGAAAATGTATCTCGAACCACGTCACACCAGTGCACCCGTGGTTGTCAACACATTTCGACTCCGTTGGGATTTGGATTTGGGTCACATAAATGTGCACCCGAGTTTAGGAAAGTAGTATTATTATAAACGCGCCTAAAGCGACTAACGTGTTATTATCTTTGGGAAAGGCCGTGAAATTCGCTAAACGGCCCATCCCGAAGTCTAAGTATTTTTAACATAAGCATTTATCGAGGGCCCCGCCATTTGTTTGTTTTGTTTAGCGAGGCTCATCTCGTTTTAGTTTAAAGGCCAATCTAAAGAAGAGCTATGATTTGCTATTAAGCACCGTCTCTAAATCCTAGTTAATTGGTTAGCAAGCCCATTATTATTTGAAAGTATTCCAAAAGAAGCTCAAGCCCCCACTCCCAGTTT